GGTATATTAAAATACTCTGTAAAATAATAAGTTCCACAGATCAAAGGAAGCTGGATGCAAAAGTGATTAAAGAGAAGTACTTTAAAACATTTCCATTGGTTTTCCCATGTTTCTGGTTTATCCTATGGAGAAAAATCACAATATTTACTATTAGCCACTGCTATCAGTAGTTTGACTTGATACTTAAGAGTGAATTCCTAATTGTTTCTGTAATGTTTCTAGGTGATCGTAATTCTACATTATTTAATTAATCTTATGATGTGAATTCTATATTACAGTGACTATATGACAGTAACTGAGGCCCAGGAATCACAGCCTCCTCCCCTTCTAACTTCTTGACAACTGTGATCACTAGTTTAAATAGGTAAAGAAACCGTTAATACACAAGCCCAGGCTAATGATCTCAAACAAACCAAAGAAACACTACAGAGTAACTGTCCAGTCTCTGCAGCCCACAGATCACTCCCTTCTGTCAGCCAGGACTCTCAGAGCAGAAATGTGTTACGCTAAGATCACAGGTGGGTTCTCCCAATTGTTGCGGCAGTCCTGCAGGCAGCACCGGAAGCCTCTATTACAAAGGGAAATCGATGCTGCCAGCCATTCAGCGGTGCTTGTTCCCAGAAATAAGCATAGTTTTGTTCACATATGATGACAGAATTATAAATTCACTGAGCTGGAAGAACTTCAGAAATGGGTCCAGTGGTTCCCAAAGAATGGAGAGCTACTGCCCTGCAGATAACGATGTTCAAAGATGAAAGCCAAAGCGAGAAAAGTAAGATCAGTGTAGTAAATGTTCAAAAAAACCTCATCAGGATATCGACTTGCTTAGCAAGCCATATAAAAAAAACCTAAGTTTATTCAATTTAAAGGGCTGCAGTTAGGATTGCCTGGGTGGCTCAGTCGGTTAAGCATCTGCCTTCGGCTGGAGTCATGATTCTGGGGTCCTGGGATCGAGTCCCATGTCCAACTCCTTGCTCAGTGAGGAGTCTGCTTCTCCCCTTCCCTCTGCCCCTATCCCTGCTCATGTTCTCTCTCTGACAAATAAATAAATAATATCTTAAAAAAAAAAAAACTCAAAGCAGGGATTTTTAACAGTTGTGAAACTCAAAGGAAGACAAGGCAATGTGAAGTCACACTACCCAGCCTTTCAATTTCTGTTTATAGGGCACCTGGGTGGCTCAGATGGTTAAGCGTCTGCCTTCGGCTTGGTCATGATCCCAGGGTCCTGGGATTGAGCCCCGCATCAGGCTCCCTGCTTGGCAGGGAGTCTGCTTCTTCCTCTCCCTCTACTGTTCCCCCTGCTTGTGCTCTCTCGCTCTGTCAGATAAATAAATAAAATCTTTAAAAAACTACCCATAACCAACTAGACAACTACTTGTACTGTCTTTTGCCACAGTTTATTTTAAAATCATGCATAAAACCATGACTGAAAAAGGCCTTCCTCTCTCTGGAAAATTTACCACCTCTGACCAGTGAGTCAAGGGCAGAGGGGAGGAGGAGGACAAGGATACTCCAGCCTGGCCAGACACACCATGAATCAGCCCTATCAACAAATACAGGGGTGACACACTGTAGCCAGAATCACCCCAAACATGCATGAGAACTTACACATCCAAACTGAATTCTGCTTTTCAAAGCAGGCCCTGTTATAAAAAGCATTTTGGAAGTTCTGTCCTTAATTTAGGGTAACAGAATACTCCCCTTTGGACATGTCCCTTTTTAATTCCTCCCCCTTTTCCTTTTGCTCCTCCCTCCTTTGGCTTAGAGTCCAGTGGCCTGAGCCCATGCACTATCCCCAGAAAGGATCAACAACAACACTTGAGTGAGTACCTGAAGTGAGACTCACTGGGAGAGGCAACAGGGCTAAGAGACTGATGGGAGAGAATGTGCACGGTGACTGCCACCTGATGTGTACTTGGTGAGTACAAATTAGTCTCCACAGGTGAACGCTCTCAAGATGTCCACTTTCTACATAGACCATGTGCCCCCGAGTTTTAGTTTGGCATGACTTTTTAGAAAGTAAACAGCAAATATTAGACACTACCATGGCTTTGCCAAGTGCTGATAAATCATCTCTGATAAGCTAGTCCAGATTCTGTTCCGGGCACCCTGTCAAGCTCTAGTCTTCACAGTGGTAGAGCTATTTTCCCCATGACTACAACTAAGAAGAGGCACTGTGTCTACCTCAACACTTTGTCATGCACGGTGGGAGTCTCAAGGAACTTAGTTCATTGAAGCAAATACCTAGAATCTGGGAGCATCATGACTTCCTCATTTGGGATGACATGAATCCCGCAGAACCAACATCACATATTTAAGGAAAAAACAAAACTTTAATAGCCCTGATAAAGATCTTACCATATTAAACATACACTTAGTGGCTGAGACATCAAGGGTTGGAGTGAACTGCAAAGTATCTACAAATCGCTGTAACTTCTCTTTCCAGCTAGTTTAAAGATTATAAACCCAAATTAGATAAATGTCACACCTACTGAAAGCACAATTTAACAAATTATTTTTGAAACATTATCAATAATGATCTAGGGTTGTCCAATGTGGCAGGAACTAGAAATATGTGGCTACAGAACACTTCAAATACGGCTAGTCTAAACTTAGATGGGCTAAAATTAATGTAAAACACCCAATTTCAAAGACTGATTGTGAGAACATGAACATAAAACATCCCATTAAGTACTTCTAAATTCTGATTACTTATTGAAATAATAATTTCAATTTACTGTGTTAAATAAAATATAATATTAAAACTAATGTCCCTATTTCTTTATACCTTTTTATGTATTCTATCAGAAAACGTAAAATTACATATGTTCCTTCTTTCTCTATCTATTGGACAGTCCTGATCTAGGTTCTCTTAAAACAAAGTTACATTTACTTTTAAAATATTCAACATGAATAATAACATTTGACTGTAAGTCCATCACACTCACCTTTTGAATTTTGAACTTTTTCATGTAAGGTATAAATTGAAACAAAAATCCAGGTAAACAGAACAAGAAATAAAGGACCTCATGAACTATCAAGGATCCCCATGTTGCAATCTGGAACTTTGTGTAATTATTCAGCATATAGTTCCAAGCATTCTTAAATGGTTCTTGTAGAGGGTTCTCAGGTAAAAGTGAATCTACATACTCCACAGCCAAGGATGCTGAACTAAAGATGCCGATACTTTCATTTGTTGCCATTTCTCAAATCTCTGCTGAAAGCCTTAGAATTCTGTAAAAATAAATAAATACATAAGCAAGCAAGCAAACCAAGTAAGCCAAACAATGAAATTCCCAGAAAATAATTTTTAAAATTCAACTTCTGATAATTTTAAAAACCACAAATACTAAAGTACCAATTCTCAGATCCTAAACATGTGATTAAAAAAAAAAAGTCTACTGGGTATCATCACCATGTCCATTTGCAGACACTGATTTAAGAGACTCTTTTTTTTTTTTTTTTAAAGATTTTATTTATTTATTTGAGAGAGAGAGAGCACATGAGAAGCCGGGAGGGTCAGAGGGAGAAGCAGACTCCCTGCTGAGCAGGGAGCCCGATGCCGGACTCGATCCCAGGACTCCAGGATCATGACCTGAGCCGAAGGCAGTCGCTTAACCAACTGAGCCACCCAGGCGCCCCTGATTTAAGAGACTCTTAATCTTAGGAAACAAAGTGTGGGTTGCTGGAGGGAGGGAGTGGAGGGATGGGGTAACTGGGTAATGGACATTGGGGAGTGTAGCTGTTGTAATGAACACTAGGTATTACATAAGACTGATGAATCCCAGACCTGTACCCCTGAAACAAATAATGCATTATGTTAATTAACTGAATTTAAATAAATAAATAAATAAGCCAGCCAGCCAGCCAGCCAGCCACGTGTTGGGGCACCTGGGTGGCTCAATCAGTTAAAGGTCAGGACTCTTAGTTTCTGCTTAGGTCATGATCTCAGGGTCATGAGATCTTGCTCGGCCTCCACTCCGCAGGGCAGAGTCCACTTGAGATTCTTTCCCCCTCCCTGCCCCTCTCTCCCTGCTACTCCCCCTCCCTTATGAGGGTGAGGGCTTGGGTGAGGGCATGCGCGCTCTCTCTCTCAAATAAATAAATAGGGGCGCCTGGGTGGCTCAGTCGGTTAAGCGTCTGCCTTTGGTTAACCATCTGCCTTCGGCTCAGGTCATGATCTCAGGGTCCTGGGATGGAGTCCTGCATCGGGCTCCCTGCTCAGCGGGGAGTCTGCTTCTCCCTCTCCCTCTGCTGCTGCTCCCCCTGCTTGTGCTCTCTGTCAAATAAATAAATAAAATCTTTTAAAAATAAAAAATAAAAGCCACATGTTAACTTTCAAGAGCAGGATCTAAACAACAATGGACAAAGAATTTCAAACTACCTTTAAAGAGACTTTTCAATGTGGTCTCCATGGAAAAACTTGTAATTTCAATTAGCAATAGTGGCGTTCGAGCGTCATTTAAAACCAAAAAAACAAAAACAAACAAAAAATCACAAAAAAACACCAAAAACCCTATAAAGAAAAAGTCTGCCAAGTAAGACTACATAAAAATTAAATACTTCTAATTGGGGGACAAATAGACAATTATAAATAAAGTCAAAGATCAAATGACAAACTGGAAAAAATACTTCCAACACTTATGACAAAAGGCTGAAAAGTGTGCTTTAGAAAAAGACTAAAAACCCAATAGAAAAACGACAAAGGCCATTCCCAAGGGGTTCACGGAAAAATAAATACAAATGTTCACTAAACAAATAAGCAGTTCAGTTAGACTCAAATAAAGAAATACACCCTAAAACAAAAATCTTTAAAAGTGTCAGTGTTCAGGACAGAGTACTGGTAAGGGCAACAATTTGGGGAAACAGACACCATTATACATTGTTGATGAAGGGATTAGTAGGCCTTTGAAGAAAAATTCACAGTATTTGTCACAATTCAAAATAAATATACCCTTTGACCCAGCAATTTTCTCACTCAGGCACACTAAGACTGAAAGAAGCATTGCTTATAGCAGCAAAAACAAAGAAAAAAGAAAAACAATAAGTCCATCAACAAGAAAGGAGTTAAATAAACCCTAAGTCTTTCCATAGACAATTATACAGCCACTTAAAAGAACAGGAAAATCTCTATGTTCCCACAAAGAAAGATGTCCAAGATACAATGTTAAGTGAAACAGCAAGTTGTAGAATAATGCACATAACAGGAGCACCCCCCTTTTGTTTTTGTGAAAAGGTTATATATTGCGCACTTTCATGCCTATGGACAGGCGGACACAGACACACACACACACACAGAGACACACACAAAATGTATGGAAGGATATCCAGGGAACAACTGAGAGTGATGACCTTTAGGGAAAAGAGATCAAGAGGTAATAGATGCTCTCATTTTCATATGTGCACACCCGGGGTGGGGGGGGAGCTGTACTGGAGGAGAGGAGAAAAATTTCTTTCCATTTTATACCTTCTTACAATTATAATTTTCTCATGAGTATGCTTTATCTATACAACAAATAAGCATAATACGTCACCAAATCAAAAAAGAAAAAGTTTATAAAGAGTGTCATTTTCCTAAAAATGTTCACTGTTGTTCCTAACTTATTAATTATAATTTTAAAAACAAAATGCCTCAGAAGCACTCTTAATAGTGCTTAAAATGCCCCACTTCCCATATTGACCTCTGACCAGTTCCTCATGGAGGGTCTGGGAAGCTTACTTAGCCAGCTTCCTCAGGTCTCTGAATTCACTCTGCAGCCTTATTTTTTTGTCCTACTCATTCTCAATGACTTATACTATGGAAGCTACAGTTACATCCTGGGCCATCCCAACCTCAAAATTCCTCTTTTCTCGCTCCCCCTCTCTGAGAGTGACCAGTCTTCTGTTCTTATTTTACCTGAGAACCTGTCACTTACCCTTTCTCATCTTTCGTTCTTCCCTCTTCACTAAGTCCATCCCCTCAAGTTTAAAAACATACTCAAGTCTTCATTTCTAGTGCAAAGTTTTCCTAACCTGTATCTCCTCTTCCCCAAGCCACTGTCCCTCTTCTTTTTCTTTGAACCAGCTTCTTTCTCTAGGGAGAAATCAACAAAAAGCCTCCCCCTGCTTTCCTCTTACCCATACAACTCACTCATCTACTTACAATCTAGCTCCCGCTAACACCAAGGTATCTTCGGTCTTCTAACTTGCAAGGTAAAACAGTCATTCCAATCCTCATTTTTCATGAGGTCACTACCAAATTTGGCAATGTTGAACGAACACCACTTACTAGCTGTGTGACCTTGAGCAAGTTATATAACCTCTCTGAGCCTCAGTTTTATCATCTGCAAAATGCACAGAATAACAATAGTAACTAAATGGTGGGGATCTTTTCACAAGGTATATATATATTAAATCACCACAATGAGCACTTTAAATATCTTACAATTTTACCTGTCAATTATACCTCGATAAAGCTGAAAAAAGAAAAACAATAGTTCTAATGGGTCCAAGACCTAATGTTAAGTACTTAACATAGGACCTTACACATAGTAGCTACAAGAAGCTAAGAATTTGGGGCACTTCTTATATGCCAGGAACTGTGTTTTAAGAGTTCTGTATGCTCTCTCTATATTAAAGACTTTAATCCTTACCATACCTTCATGAAGTAGGTAATTTTATCATCTCTATTTTATAATTGAAAAACTGAGGTTTAGAAAGAGTAAACAACTTTTGTAACCCAAGTGACAAAAATATTATGTGGGGGAGCCTATGCACTCATCCCTTAGGCTCTACTGTAATAAGAAATAATAAAGCACACAATAAATATTATAGGAAAAAGGGAATAATTCCTACAGCTTTCCCAAGGCTCCTTAAATATTATTCTACACAGGCTGTCTTCATTTTCACATTTCCCATTTACTCTCCAGCTTTTACAATCTGCTTTCTGTGCTCATCACTGCACTGAATTTACTCACTAATATAATCACTAAGGATCTCCTAGCTGCCAAATCCGACAAACATTCTTTGATTTTATTTGACCAATCTGAAGATTTGCTACTTCTCTCCTTAAAATACTCTCCTTCCTTGGTTCTTGGGATTCACATGTATTCACTCTGATTTAATTTGCGCTACTATGTGCAGCTACCGTGCTAGCTGCTGTCCTCCCCCTGACTTCAAGATACAAACTCTAAAGAGGAATACAAAGCAATAACCAGACTGTCATAAAATTATGTGATAAGAACAATATCGGGTTGGAAATATAGAGTGCTAGAACACAGAGGACCAGGAAAGAGTTCTTAAAGAAAGACGCCATCTAAACTGAGACCTGGAGCTAAGGGGGAGGTGACCTGATTAAAAGAGAGTAAAGTAGGGTTGGGTGGGTGGGAGGAACAGGGAATGTTTTGAGTAGAGGGCACAACAGATCCAAAGACTCAACCAGGAGGCCAGAAAGACAGCACTTTCTGATTCAGTATTTTTGTGCTACAGCTTTTGAGAAAGGAAGACCTGAGAATTGAGGCTAGTTTCCCAAGAATGCTTTCCTTACTCCTTTCTAACTATTTCAGAGTACCCAGAGTGATAGTAACTATTTCCTGTTTTATTTTTATTTTGTTTTAGATTTTATTTATTTATTTGACAGAGACACAGCGAGAGAGGGAACACAAGCAGGGGAGTGGGAGAGGGAGAAACAGGCTTCCCGACGAGTAGGGAGCCCGATGCAGGGCTCGATCCCAGGACCCTGGGATCATGACCTGAGCAGAAGGCAGACGCTTATTGACTGAGCCACCCAGGCGCCCCTATTTCCTGTTTTAAAAATACAGATATCCACAACCTTTCTAGCCCTAGCCCTCTCTCCTAAACTCCAGGTTCTGATTATCTAAAACTCTACCGGCCATCTCCAATCAGACAGTTCAGAAGCCCATCAAACTCAACATGTCCAAAAGTTCAGCAACTGCTCCCTGCAACCCTGCCCAAATACTCTACCTTCTTTAACCTCTAATTTGGTGAATTGCACCATCACCTATTTAGTCATTTCTGAAGGAGTGTTCTAAGTCTCTCCTGTCTCTGCTGCCTAAGCCTTCAAACTCCCCCTCAATTTAGAAATACTTGGTTTAATTAACATTCAGGAGTTTACTCTCCCAACACAAGAAAAGAAAGTGGATACACCTTTGCCAAATGAACCAAAACAAAAACTAGGAATTAAGGAGGGGGAGGAGAAATAAAGAGTGAATTTTCTTTTCCTTTTCTCATCCTTGTGCAACCTGATTGACTGAAAGCGTGCTCTATCCTCAGAAAAAAATTAGTTACCCGTGGATTCTCTGAGAAACCGTGAAGTTTAGCTGTCCGAGGAGGGTCAGCCAGTGTCTGTCCTTTGGCCCTATACCTTAGTCGAGACTGGACTGCAGAAGTTTCCTCATTTGCTGGAGTTGCCCAATCTCTAAGCTTGCCCTCCTGAAGCGATACAATGCCAGGATATTATCTAAACAGGGGAGTTAACCCCCTTCTTTAAACAAATTTCAAGGGTGTGCCTCCCTGAAAGACAAAGACCAAGGCCCTCAGCGATGCAAAACCGGCCCTGCCAGGCCTTCTCCACTCTCCATCTCTCGCATCTCCCACCTCGCCATATTCTTATATTTCACGTGTAACGGACACAGCATTTATCCTTTGCCGGTAACATCCAACTCCTACTCATCCTTCAGTAACCTCCTCTCAGACGCTCTTCCCAACCACACCACGTCCACTGCACAAACACAACAGATCTTACCTCCCCGGTAGTGCTTCCGTTTTTGTAAAACTGTCATCACTCCTTCACCCTGTGCTGTTAACTATCTCCTAATATCTCCCGTCTTCGATGACTAAAAAATTCTTAAAGGGCAAGAAATATGCCCCAGCCCAATTCCATCATTTAAGATTTCATACCGCTTTCACCTGTTCCCCTTGCCCGCGGTCCTCACATCCGGCACTGGCGCCCCGAGCGCGCATCCACGCGGGACCCCGCTCCCCTCAACAGCACGGAGCAGCTGGCCGGAGCCAGCCACTCCCGCTTCCGGACCTACCCGAGTCTCTTCCAGCCCCCTCACCTGGACGACCGCGCGGGAACTGCGGGCCACCGTCACCCCGGCTCGGCCAGGTGCGACAGCCTCGGAACCTGCCTCTCAGCGTCGGGGGTGGAGCCAAAAGCGCAAGGGCGTCTTCTTTTTGTCGTTATTGGCTTGTGAGGGCTCACAACCCGCCTTCTCAGCGCTGTGATTGGTCCTTGAGGTTGCTGGCATCGTGTGACTCGCGTGAACGAATCCCTGGCGATCTCAGCCATTGGCTCCGCGGATGGAGTGAGGATAGTGAGACCGAGACGTCTAGCCAGTAGCCAGCGCCGCAGCGCGCCTAGAGGCGGGGAAGCGCGAGGACGCGTGACGGCGTGAGGGGGCGGGCTCGGACGGCCACTATGTGCGGGCCCCCGCAAGGAGTTGCCTTGGCAACCTGGGTTACTTCGTGGTTCCTGCCGCGCCCGCGCTGTCCCGGTAAGAGGATACCAGGCCGTCCTCCCCGCGACTTTAAGATGTGATTTGTGTAGCAGTCGCTTCGCCAAAACCTGGGAAGAGAATAGTATAAATGCAGTTTGACTGTTTTGTGTTTACAGATAGCTCCGCCCTTCTCTGGTGTACCTGGGATTTAGATCTTTCTCCTGCCTTGCTTCCCCAGCCCCAGTATCCTTTAATAAACTATATATATGGAAGATGGAGAATTTCCATTGCAGTATATTTCCTGCGATCATCTAGAGAGTTAGTTATCATTATCCCCATTTTGCAGATGAGAAAATCGAAGCTAGGAAAAGTTTAGAAAATGATTTGACATAACAGATGGCTGCTTCCCTGAGGAAGGTTAAGGCCTTGACCTGGCCAATAGAGCGTGGGCTGTGAGAACGCCCAGGTGGTGTAATCCACAGGGAAACAGGGAGCTCCAGAAGCCCGGGGATGGAGGGGCACAGAGGATTTGACACACTTGCAACTTGTCTACTGCCCTGGCCTCATCTCAGCCATCTCTCAACACTAAAATACTTGTGTACAAGGGAATAAGGGTAGCGTGTACAGATGGTGTAATAATATACGAATTTAAACCTAAGAGTGCCTTCTAAAAGTTCGCACAAAGGCACCATTTGGTCTAGTCGAAGGCACTTTCTATTCAGTAGTTTCAGGAAACAGGATGCTGTTCTCTCAGGGCTATGCTGAAACTGGTTTTTCTGCCTGAAATAATCAGCCGTCTCCCCCGCCACCCATCACCTATCAATTCAGGTGTCATCTGCTTGAGGCAGTTCCCTCTTGAGGGATGTCTCTCGTCTAACTGTCCCATGTCTGACAAGGACAGTAAAGTCAGTATCATGACAGTGAGGTCATGACAGTGAATCCCTGGCGATCTCAGCCATTGGCTCCGCGGATGTAAAGTATCATGTAAAGTATCTGTAAAGTATCATGACAGTGACGTCAAATCAAATGAAAAGAAATGGGATCTGCCCTTTGGGTGGTCAGAGCCCTATCTTTAGAGGAGGCCTGTGAAGGAAGGTGAATGGTGTCCTGGAGTGGATGCTGCGGTGCACCACTCAGTTCCCCTTCTTCGGGACTGAAGCAGGCATGCAGCTACTGAGTGTTGGCAAAGAGAGCCACCTCTCCCCTCTGGCACACCCCCTCTCCAGGGGGCAGCCTGAGTCCAGTGACTGGTTGATGCAGGATGAGCCCCTCACCAGCTCCAGAGCTCCCCCTCTTATTGGCTGAGGTTGTGGGTATGACTGCATCTGCAGTCCGCTTTTCCATCTGCCCAAACCTGCTGCACTTTCTCCAGTACTGTGAAGAACATGCACTATGGGGTCAGATTTACCAGGCTTTCTCAATTAGCAGTGTGCTAACTTCTCAAAGTTTTATCTAGTACCTCTGTAAAAAAGTTTGTTAGGATGGTAAATATTTATGTAAGGCCATTTGCATAGTACCTGGAATACAGGAAGTGCTCAGTAAATGTTGGTTTTCATTTCAGACTTGGGAGTCCTAACACAGTAGATATATTTTCTAAATCAGAGCAGGTGTATGTATTGGAGGGGTCAAATTACTATTTTAAGTCTTGGATATTTAGAGCTGAAAGGAAATACAGATACGGCAGCTCAACTCACTTATTTCCCTACAATAAAGAAATGGGGGGGTTCAGAGAACAGTAACAAAAGTGGTAATTTATTGAGGGTCCTCTGTATTCCAGGCATATTCACATACATCATTTCTTTCAAATTCCACAATAACCTTGTGACGCAGGCACTACTGTTGCTATTTTAGAGCAGAAAGATAAGGGTCAGAGGTTAAGTAACATGTTTAAAGTCACAGCTAGCAGCTAATGGGGGGGGGGATGCAAATTCAGAGCCTTCTAATTCTTATGCCCATAGATTTTCCAGTACACACACTGCTTTTTTACTTGGAGTCATGAAGCCAGGTTGGAACCCCAGAGTCTTGATTCAAAGTGTGATTCCACTCTCCCATGTAACCTCTTCTCCAAAATGAGGCACTGACTGCCATACAAGTCAGGAGGAGGCAATTTGCTCAAGATCAAACTGAAACAAAAGGCAGGCTTGTTTAGCACATCACGGTGTAATATTATGCTGTCCTTGTATCTATTAAAGGAGAAATTTCATAACCCATCAGCAGCTGAGATTATAAATACCCAGGTCCCCATGCTATAAGGGAGAATAAAAACCAGGAATCATATGCCAGAGTCCACAAGGAAAAGGAAGGGAAGTCAAAGTCTCCTAGTAGTACACACATCATCCACCTTAACCATAGCCACCATTGCTTTTGGCCAGCAAGGCATAGATCCAAGCAAAGCAGGCAGCAGAGTTGCTTCACAATGCAGGTACCTAAATCTAGCCTTGAACGCTGCTCAAACCTGGTGCTGTTTCCTTGGCAGGATTTCTAAAATGCCTCTCTGCCTCAACTTCTGATCTCTATTTCTCATACAATAATAGAACAAGCCAGGAATACTTCTATATGCCTTTTTTAAAGGTGGGGCGTTCCAAACTGGAAAGACAGAGGGGTATGGGGGAGCAGGGTATATCCAAAGCTTCTGAAAACATAGTTATGAATCTACCTACTGACAAACCTTGGCAAACTAATTTATAGTCTAGCTATTAAAGCTTTGAAGGAAGTAAAGACAAAGAGGTACTTGACATGCTAAGTATCTAAGACTTTATAACCTTAATAGATTGCATTTCAAGAAAAGCTTAAAAATTTATTTTTTTGATAAATCTTTAATTGATAATTCACAGAAGTTTCATAAAATATTAGTGTTTGGAAGTCATCAGGAAAGATAATGACACACATTTTCCTTGATGCCACCAAAACAGCTAATAGTTCTCCAAGTTCATTAGATCTTCAACATGTTTGTTGACAGTGGATGTTCTTGGAGCCACGCTGAAGCATAAATTCATTCTTTTTTTTTTTCTTTAAAGATTTTATTTATTTGACAGAGAGAGAGACAGTGAGAGAGGGAACACAAGCAGGGGGAGTGGGAGAGGGAGAAGCAGGCTTCCTGCGGAGCAGGGAGCCCGATGCGGGGCTTGATCCCAGGACCCTGAAATCATGACCTGAGCCAAAGGCAGCCACTTAATGACTGGGCCACCCAGGCGCCCCAGAAATTCATTCTTTCATAAGGTAAACAGAGGCTTTTTCTTTTTCTGATTAAATTCCTTATATTTCCATTTATAATTAAAAGTTCAAATAAGTATTAAGTATGGTTTTATGTTTAAATTTCAGTACTCTGTTAAACTAAATGGAAATTTTATCATAGGTATAATTCTTGCTCTTGATTATCGATTGTTCTGGCTAAACTTCTGTTCATGAGTTAATTCCTCTTCTGAGGCATAGCCACCATATCCCATCACACTTTCTCCTTCTCATCCCCCTCCCCTCTGCACCCTCTCAGGGTCCACAACCTAAGCTGTCCATCCCACTCCTCTACTCCCATCCCCTCAATTCCTTTGATTTAGTATCAAAACCACAATTTATTTCTCAGTTGCTCTGGAGTAGGTATTTTTTCTTTGACTTAATTTTTGGTCCTTTGCTATTTGTTTTATTGTCATCTTGGGCTTGTATTAGAGACAGAGGAATATAAAAACTTGAAATTTCACCAATACTTGGGAGATTTTTCTCTGATGGTTGAGATAACTTTTTCTTTGATCACAATTTTCAACGACTTCAGTTACTTATAACAGACTTGCCTTTTAGGTTCCTTTGGCAACAAGTTAAAAATACTGATTTGTGAAGTTAGAAAATGCAAATTTTAAAAAAGAACAGAAAAACAAAACAGGCAACTTTTTAATATGAAACTAAATAGATAAAAATCAAGGACAATGTGAAACAAATAATATACAAACTTTTATTCAAAGATATTCAAGAAAGACATGTTTCGGTCATTTTAAAGTGAGATTAATTGAAGATCTCAGAAAAACTGTATTTGATCAACACACATGGCTACTCACAGAAAATTCTCTCTTCTGTTAATAGCAGCTAAATTTATACACACAGAAAAAATTCTTAAGACCATGCAAACTCAGTTGAATTCCATACATTCATTATATTCTTCAAAAACCTGTAGTAATGTTCATGCCAAAGTGTTACTTTAAGAAAAAAATTAAAAATACACACCAAAACATGACCAAGATTAAACTAAAGAAAATAATAAATAAGCATAATTTATATTTTATTTAAAAAAGTTTGGCATCACACATATTTAAGTGTGTTACACCATGTTCATTCCTCAGAAGTGGCATTTTAAAGTGTTAAGCATTGTTAAATATCAAAAAATACAACTCTGTTTTACAATGTAGTACTGGCATAATTCAAAGTACTGTGCCAATTATAAATAGTATAATCAAGTTTCAAACATCTTTTCAAACATATTTAAAGGAAAGCATATAGACACACATTTATATGCACACAATTTATTATACTCATGTAATCAAAGATATTTTATAAAAGCAAACAGTTTTATTCCTCAGCTACTTTGTATACTTACACAGATTTTAATACCTGTTCAGATTTTCAGTTCCTGTGTATACAGATTTTCAGGAGAAGGAATAAAGATAAAATTTAATTTTACAAGAACACATTACTTTATCGTCCTTCACAAAATAATCCATAGTCATTTGAGGTTGGTAAGAACTAGTCTTTAAGAAAGCAACTGTTGTCTAAAGACTACAGAATAAGTACTGTAGTCCGGTTTCTTATTAAAATTCAGTCAGCTGCTGCTCATTGCAGAAAAAGCCTATGCAGTGCTTCTACCAAAAATAATCTTCAGTATCTGAGGCCTATTAAGGCAGCCGATCTGATCTTCTGCTGAGACTTAAAGAGCAGCCACAAGTGGAGAAGTGCTAGACTCTGAGTCGCTTCAGAAATACTTGGTGAAGCCTGCTTCTCATGTATAAATATGCCAAAAATGTCCTTCCGGCTCATAATGGTTTATCAATAACTGTGACCCCTGAGCAAAGAAAGAAAGAAAACAGAAGTCACAGGCAGCATTCTGTACGTCTGAGAAAAGAGTGATTCTTTATTACTGAAACAATAGGGACTGAACGAATCATGGTGTTTCAAGATCTCTTTCTTCAACTTGAATACTACTATCATTTTAATCTAAATGACAGTGAAATCTCTACTCAGTTATGGACCAGAACTACATCAGACTACTTAATCCAGAACTACTCTTTTGCTCTTTATGGTTATAATTAAGGGAAAATAATTTTACTTAGGAAATATCAAAATTCACCTAATACTCAAAAGGGACACAAGAAACTTTTGGGGGTGATGGATATTTTCATTATCTTGATTGTGATGATGGGTTCATGGGTATATACATATGTTAAAACTGTACACTTTAAATATACACTATTTATTCTATGTCAGTTATATCTCAATAAAAAGCTATGAAAAAATTTCACCTAATTTTGAGCCATGTTATTCTTGGAGCCTACTGTATATAGTTCTTCTATTAGGTGTTGTTTTGGATGATACATAAATAACAGTGATGGCTAATTAGTATAAACTCTTTAATCTCCACTCTTGGGTCAATATTAGAATGAATATTAGAATTTAAAGCAATATACATATGTATCTATCATCAGAATATTATGCAACATACAACTTTAAAGACTCATCATTATATTCATTAAAGATTATTACTATTTCTCCTACTAAGAGAATGAACCCAAAATGGTATTTTATCATTCACCCAGTGCTATGCTTAAGAAAAATTACTCCACAGTCTCACTATAGTACTATCACATGGCACCCTGCCAGGGGAGATGTTGTAGTAGTCCTATTTCTTGGATATCTGAGTAATGAAAGCCTTGCCACATAGTGAACTCCACTCTACTCCATACAGATTTTAGCCATATTAAGTTTTATTATACGATTCTGCACTAGAAAGGTTTGGGATTTTGAATTCAAATGACTGTAGAATGACAAAACAATACCAGTGCTTTATTTTAAAATATATACATCCAATATTAATTATTTTGAGAATAAGAAATTACTTGAGAAAATTCTCCCTAGAACATTAATATAAAAATCATGATGACATAATTTTTTCATTTAATAGAAGACCGTAAGAAAATTAGACAATTATTACCTGCGTAACTTCTCCCTGTGCTCATACAAGATGACACAACTGTCCATTTATCAGTTGTTGGATTATAATATTCTACAGATGCCAAGTTACAGGAACCATCATCCCCGCCAACTACATATAACAGACCATTAACTGCACAAACTCCTTTAAAAAAGTATGCAGAGAGAAAACAATTATTTTAAAAATTTGGGTAAATATAAATATCCCTATATGTATTTGGTGAGGTGATCCAGTGACACTTATTTCCTTGAAAAGGGGCAAGAAGAGAAGATGGTGAACATGAAAACAATTCCCTTTATATTTGACAGTCTAATACCACTTCCAAGCTCCTCCTCGTTCCATTTGTGTAGTAGTTGTTTTATATGGGCATTGTTTCCATTAATCTTCATAATAACCTTACTTTATAGATCAGAAACTATTTTAATTCTTACTTTGTTAAAAAAAAAAAAAGTAAAGGTCAAAAAGTTTAGTTAACTCTCCCGAAGTCATCTTCTTAGAAAATCCTAAAGAAAAAATATATATTGGTAGAAGGTAAAAATGATTCTGAATTCTGAAATGATACTGAATGGTTAACTATTTTATCTCCTGTAAAAGGAGAGAAAGGCATTATTTATTTCATTATTACTAGAATAACTCATTTTTTGCAAAAATTCAAAATATCTAGAAAAGTATATATAAAAAAAGACCAGGGGTGCCTGGGTGGCTCAGTTGTTAAGCGTCTGCCTTCAGCTCAGGTCATGGTCCCAGGGTCCTGGGATCGAGCCC